CCTATACTGAGATACAGGGAGTTTCTCTTTCTCATATAGTAAGCTACATGCAATACAATGGTTCAACATGGATTTTTAAATATGCCCTAATTGTGACATTGTGCTTCCGGCAGTTCAGTGACTTGAAGCTTAGGCTCTAGAGATGAGTCACAAGAAAGTTGGTGTTGTATGCACACAGGCACACTTACAGATAGATACACAATGATGTTAGGAAAGAAATGAAGGCTTTCTGACTATAGACCCATGCATGCAATTCAACTAAAACAGAGCTCACTGACGCAAAGTCACAGGAAGTGATTTTGTATCCTGGAAGTTCACTGGAGAATGGCAGATGCTCTTCAGTTCTAGGAATCCAGATCTGGTCTAACGTTGCAGCATCCACAGGGTTTACGCCCATCCCCAAGACTTTCAGACTTGCACGAGGAGAACTTGGTTAAAAACACTATATAGAACTAATCCACCTTCCCTCCTATGTTAGATACTTGATCTCCCCTTGGCTCAATGTCCATATTTTACCCTCTGGCTATTCATCAAATTTTTTCTTTTATGGTGAAACTACATTTTTAAAAAAAAGAAGTCTTTGTTGTCTCTTCAGAACTTGTTCATTAAGCATTTTGTTCTTTCCTGGTCTTCCTTAGGTTTCTGCTTGTGAGGAGACCTCTTCAAGGGGCACAGTGAGCAACCTTTTGGAGCTCCTTGTCCCCAGTTCCATTGTCTCTTCTACTCTGAATTCTAGGAGCCTGGCTTCTGTAGTTGACACTGTCCTGGAAGCTGCCTTTGTGTGTGTAAGGCCCCTAGCAAAGAACTGGGAGGCCTTAGGGAAAAAACTGGTTATATTTCCTTACTGCCTCTTTCTCTGCTGATCATGGTCATGGGTCAGCTCCTAGACAGCCTTTCAGCATAACTCAGATCCACTTCAGTAAAACCTTTTCCTCCTCCTCTGGATTAGACACAAGCCAGTGATGACCTGCTGTGATCTAGAGTCTGGTTCCTTGGCCAGCCCTCCAATGAGTTTTTCAACCTCTATCCTTCTGTTACTCTTCCTGTCTAACTTGTTTGTTTATCATTTATGAGTTCTTTCATTGTAGAATCCCAGCTTAAATCCTATTGAAATGAGTTATAAGTGGGTCTGTCTGCCTACTAAATAGTGACAGCGAGGATTGTGCCTCATTTATGTTTGAGTCCTGGTACCTACAGGGCACCGGGCATGTCCAAGGAGCTAGGGCACATTTTTTATAAGTTGTGAATGTTTGTATTCTACCTCACTAGCTTCTTTTTGAGAAACCCAAGACACTTTAATGGTGGTATCTAGATTCATGCACCTCAAGTTTTCAGAAGCCTTTATAGCTCTTCAGAGTTTCTTTTATAAAACACAGAAGAAGCAAATACTGTTGGCATCCCGGATATTCCACATAAATTTATCTTAGCATATTGAAGATCACAGTAACTCATCAACATCCAAATGAGAAAAAAAAAACTCTCTTTGGGTTCCCATAAGCCAAGCTCAGCATCCCTGCTTGTTGCCTGGGAGGGGATAGAGAGTGTGCCCCGTCCCTTTGTGCTTCCCTCCCTGTTCTGCTCCATGTGGTGCCCCATTGTCCCACAAGTTGCCTAAGTTGCCTATTCATCCCTGTCTCTTGAATTAAGAATTTTGAGCAGAAGGTCCATCTGCTCTGAATGACTATTCAATTATGCTAAGAATTTGCATGAGGAGAATTTACCCTTGCGATTTCACCCTGTTTCTGTTCACCTCTGTTCAAGAAAGGCCACAGCATCAGAATTTTTTTTCTTCTATCCTCCTTTGGAATTGAAGAGGCTGCAGCTACTGAGTCCCACAGTAAGCTTAAAAACCTTTGAATCCAGGTGCTGAGGAGAAGTTAGAAAGGCTCATCTTCCATTCGCTTATGAAATGCAGTACATATTCCCTGTAAGTGAATGTGCAGCAGGTCAGATTCTGATACATTGAGTTCGTGGGATTTACTAAGGGAAAAAAACCGCACACTTTAAGTTACACACTGAAGAAATATTTAGCAATCAGTTATGTTTATTAAGTAAACACATATGCTATTTTAGTTTATAATGTGACATAGAGTGTACAACTGACATATCAGTTGCTTCATTTTAAATATTCATGAGTGAGCAACTTTCAGCCAGCCTGTAATATAATTTATATAATTAAGTTGTAGTATTTTCCAGCTAGCTCCCTAAAATTTATAGCCGATTCTCTAGTAGATGTATTTTTGTAGCTGAGTGCTAGCACAAGCTGAGTAAGGGGATTAGTTGAAGAATGGCTTTTTAAAAAATCTGCGTGGTTTCCATTATTTAAGTATATTCCTATAAATAAGCAGCTAATTTTTAAAAGATGAAAATCAGATTACAAACTTTGGCACTAATATTTATACAATAATATCAGTCCAAATATGTCTGATTTCAATGTTATCAATTGCGACTGACAAGTTATGTTTTTAAATATGAGAGGAAATATAAATCCCAAAGAGCAAAATAATACTTTTGATTCATATAAACAGAAGTTAAAGGAAAGATATGTGTTGACACTGTAAGTTTTATACATCTAGAAAAGAAGGTTGAATTTATTAAAATTGAGGGACAAAGTGCTAGAGTCTGTTTACATCAGACAATTCTCTTCCATCTGTCCCCAAACCAGTTATCTCAGGGTGCATTTGTATGCAGTGAGGAATTTAGCATCTATGACAGGTGCTTTCAACAAAAATGATTCAAAGCTGCAAAGCAAAATCAGTTGAGAATCTAAGGCCTGAAGCCAGATAATGATCCTAAGGTCAGGCAGCTCAGTGTGGGGGGATCTCAGGCTGCTCAGTGTGGGGAGAACTCAGGCTGCTCAGTGTGGGGGATCTCAGACAGTTCAGTGGGGGGGGAACTCAGGCAGCTCAGTGTGTGTGGGGGAACTCTGGCTGCTCAGTGTGGGGGGAACTCAGCCAGCTAAGTGTGGGGGGAACTCAGGGTGCTCAGT